CAATTGCAGAATACTGTAGATACCTACAGTACAAGGCATGCACATTACTCCTGTGTGCTCACACTCTCGGCATTTGATTTTATTTTTTATTATTTCCTTTCGTTTTGCGCAGCATAAGAGGTTACAATTGAGTGAAGGCCTTTCAGCCTATCTAGTGCATTTGGTAGTTAGTATTTTCTTGAACTAGTCATTACCAAATGTGAAACCTAACTGAAGCTAAGCCAGAGTTCAGCAACATGGCTGGGCGTCTGGCCTTTCACTAGTTTTACTGTACATTCGACCCTTGTAATTTTTAAATCCGTCTTCCGTTTCATCTGTTCTCTGTAAGTCACCTTGGAAAAAACGGCCTGAGCAGAAATAACAACAGAAATGAATGTAGCCTGACATTTATTTGTGGAAAAGTGTAAGGCTTGGCTTAGATGGATCCTGGAGTTTCATATTCATTTTACTTTGACAGCTGTCACTGTCACAGTCCAGTATGTCTTTGTTACTGGTAGTGCACATAAAGATATGATATCCCCTTCATTGACTGATGTGCTTTTAAGCAAGTCGAGTTATTTTTTTGGGCGATTACAGTTACCTCACTGCTATAGGTAAGCAATTTAATGCCTCAGTTAGTGTTTATTACCTGATTCTCTTACTGCATTAGAGAATTAATTAAAAGAGTAGTCTGTGTTTTATCAAGCAGGGCATGAATCACAGTGTCTTGCTCATGTTATGTAGTTCTCTGTAGTTTTTATTCAGCACGGTGGATTCAGCAATTAGAGACGCATAAAAAACACCAGTATTATAAGAGTAAGAATATTTAAGAATTTCTTTCCTTTAGTTATGAAATAAGTATGAAATATGAAATAATTACCATGGGTTTCACAACAAGACAAGTGAAATCCAGATGCCTAGAAGTACTGTTGTTGTTATTTTGGATATAATATTAAGGATAAAAAACAATCTGTACTGATCTGACCAGAATTGCATAAAATTCCGTAATTGTTCGGTGATGTATGGAGTTAAAAGAATAACTTTGTTTTTTTTTTTAACACAAGAAAAACATAAGAGCTTAAGAACAATTACATATTGGACTTTCACTGTAATGCCTGTGAGGTTATTTGAATATTTCCTTCGCAGGAAATAGTAGTTCTTCTCTGTGGAGGAATTAAAATGTTTGGTCCTTTTCGGTTGTCACTGTAGGACATTCATTTTAAGCCCCAGAGCGTCTGGTTGCTGAACTCTGGACTGCTTCCAAAACAGCTACATCAATTCTACAGGATGGTGACCAAAATGGTACACAATATTTTCACTTGTCTTATGCTTATTTTAACATAACTTCTCTTGATTGGAATTCTACACTTTTACTATATATCCTACCATTTTGTTTACCCACATTGTTTAAAAGATGAAAGTGATATGTAGTGTTGATATATTGCTTTCAGATGGGCATCAGGGTAGCGTAGTGGTAAGTTCTTTAGTTTACTTCCAGACCTGGGATACTATCTGAGTGGATTTTCTATGTTCTTGTGGCTTTTCTCCAGGTGCTCCGGTTTCCTCCCACAGTTCAGAAACTTACTGGTATCTTAATTAGCTTCTGATAAATTGGCTCCAGGTATGAGGGTGAGCGTGTCTGTATCTGAGTCTCTTATGTCCGCCATGCGATTGACTGGCATCCCTTCCAGAGTGTACCCTGCCTTGGACCCATTGCTTGCCGGGATAAGCACCTTGGACACTGAATTGGATAAAGTGGTTAGAAAATAAATGGTTGGATTATTCAACAGGGAAGGAAAGCCCAGCATCATAGCAGATGACTGGCGTCCCTTCCAGAGTGTACCCTGCCTTGGACCCATTGCTTGCCAGGATAA